GTATAAGATTAAAGAAAGGTTACAATTTCAAGGGCTCCATTCATTCATTCATTTTTTTAGCTTAGTCCCTTTATTAATCTGGGGTCGCCACAGTGGAATGAACCGTCAACTTATCCAGCATATGTTTTACTTCCAGCTGCAACCCAGGGAAACATCCATTCACATTCTTTCACACACATACACTACGGACAACTTATTTACCCAATTCACCTATACCACATGTTTTTTGGACTGTGGGGGAAACCGGAGCACCCGGAGGAAACCCACGTGAAAACTGGGAGAACATGCAAACTCCCCACAGAAACACCAACTGACCCAACCGGGGCTCGAACCAGCGACTTTCTTGCTGTGAGGCGATTGTGCTACCCACTGCGTCACTGTGCTGCCCTTTCTAGTGCTTGAAATGAACCTAATTTATAAAGTATTAATAAAAAATGAAAGGTATTAGTGAAAACAAAACACCCACGGCAAAATATAAATGAATTAAAATGTATTTCAGACTGAATTGATGTAATAAGGCAGAATTGTAATACTTGAAAGCTCTTAAAGACCCAAAAATGAAAATTCTGTCATTATTTACTCTTCACGTTTGTCAGAAAACTGTTTGGGTTTCTTTATCTGCTGAAGACAAAAGAAAGAAATGTTGAAAACTGAAGATTTCCATTGTATTTGTATTGTTTTTTCCACTATGGCAGTCAATGGCTACAGGTTTCTGACATGCTTCAAAATCTCTTCTTCTGTTCTCAGAAAAGTTGGTGCAGTGGGTAGCGATGTTGCCTCACACCAAGAAGGTCGCTGCTTCGAGCATTGGCTAGGTCAGTTGCCATTTCTGTGTGGAGTTTGCATGTTCTCCCCTTGTTTGCGTGGGTTTCCTCAAGGTGCTCTGGTTTCCCCCACAAGTCCAAAGAAATTTGGTACAGGTGAATTGAATAAGCTAAATTGGCCGTAGTGTATGTGTGTGCATGAGAGTGTATGGGTGTTTCCCAGTGATGAGTTGCAGCTGGAAGAGCATCCACTGCGTAAAACATATGCTGGATAAGTTGGCGGTTCATTCCGCTGTGGCGACCCCAGATTAATAAAGGGACTAAGACGAAAAGATAATGAATGAATGAATGAATGAATGAATGAATGAATGAATGTTTTCGGAAAAAATTTACTCAAAAAGCTCTTAAACCACTTCAAAAAGTGTAAATAGAGAGTAAATCTTGATTATTTTGGGGGTAAACTATGCATTTTCTTAAAGGATTTAAAATGTTTTACCCAACACAAACAACATACGCCATAAAGAAACAAAGCGCATAAAAGACTTGACTTCCAAATAGAATAATCAACACAATTACTGATCATTATGTCATTATTATGTCCACATATACAATGATAAAACACATACACTACCTGACAAACATCTTGTTGCCCATCTAAGTTTTAGACACAACAAATAATAACTTCACTTCTAGTTGATCATTTGGTATTAGAAGTGGCTAATATGAAAGACAAAGGCCTCTTGATTACACTTATATTACAAAAATTAAATTAAATTAAATTTTTAGTGATAGTTGTTGCGCGCGTACTGAAGAGTGGGGGGAGTTGCCGCGCGCGTACTGAATAGCAGCTTGGGGGTGGAGGGGTCGGGGTATTTGAAGGGCACTTTTTATCATTTTGTAAGGGCACTTTCTATCCAAGACTAAAAGGGCATGTGCACTGCGCAGGTTGAGCCCTATGTGTTCACATGCCTGATGGGCAGCACAAATGTCTTAATACCTCAGGCTGTTGATGTTGCCATCAACTCTCTCAAGCCATCATACTGAATGTAATTCCAAACCATGACATTTCCTTCACCAAACTTGACTGATTTCTATGAGAATCTTAAGTCCATGCAGGTTCCAATAGGTCTTTTGCAGTATTTATGATTGAGATGCAGTTCAACAGATGATTCATCAGAAAAATCTAAAAATTCAAGTTATTATTTGATGCTTTTACAATTGGGATTGACGACAATTTTTTGTCAGGTAGTGTATATATATCGTTTAATTAAAAAATACTCTTACAATAGTCATTAAAGGGTCCATTTCAGTCTGTTTTAAAATCTCATCATTGTGGTTTGCATCCAAGTTAAAATCAAGTTGAAACCTTTAGTTTTCTCATACATTCTTAATTCTACTTTTTCTCTGACAATCTCTGTAGGCATAGGCCGGTATAAGATTCTGACGGTATGATAACCTTGGATAAAAATATCATGGTTTGACAGTATTGTGATTACTGCTCAAAAATGTTTTCTTTTTAAATGTCTGGGTAAAAACTAATACTTTTCCCCCTTTAACCACAAAACATTTTATTTTGAGAAGCATTTAAAATACGTTGCAGCAGTAAACATGTCAGGCTGAATAACTCAAATGAATCATTGACTTCTGCTATCCTTATTCGTTTCATAAAACACAAATTTCTTTACAATTTAAAACAGCATCACTGACTATCTTTTCTGCTATAATGGTGTCCTAAAAAATTTAAAAATTAAATAAAAAAATCTTTCTCATACCTTAGGAACGGTAAAACAGAAAATGTTGGCGGTTTTAAAACCTTGACTTTTCCAAACCGCGGTATACCTTGAAAATGGTTATTGTCCCATGCCTAAATCTCTCGGGTTGAAAAGTTCACCAAAGTGACTTTTATCAACTATTTTAGCAGCTTAACGATATATTGACTGCTTTAGCCATAAATTATGGCTTAAAAACTGGGTAATGAGGTGCCAGCACTATTGAATTCCTGTATCATTCAGGTCTTGAGGCTTCCTTAATATTTAATGATTGTACATAACATAGGACTGTAATGATGGCATCAATTTAATCGTAACATTTTGAGCCCAATTAAGTCCAATGATGAAACACTGGAAGAACTAGAAAAACTACCTCAACCTCTTGCAAAAGCACAACAAGCTGGACACACATTTCTCTGGATCTTATGATTGCAATATACAAAATAAACTGCCTAATGAATGCATACAATTAACCAGCTCACTGAAATAAAATTATTCATTTGATTTACTACATTTTTTTAAAGTAAAATGGTTGCAAACAATTTATAAGGGCTGAATTTAAACAAAGAAATTAAATTCAGTAATGTTCAAGTTAATTAGTTTTGTTTTTAATCCAGCCCATATAAATTATTATTGACCCCTTAACTATAAAAAATAATGTAGTAAATCTAGTGAGTAATTGTTTTCAGTGTTGGATGAAATGCTTCTGCAAATAAATGATAACAACTTGACAGTTGTGTTGTAGTAGCTGTAGTTTCAACCAACCCTGTTCCTAAAGGCAACAGTACACATTTTCAACCTCTTTCTAATCAAACACACCAAAATCAACTCATCAGAACATTAGAAGAGACTCCAAAACCTGAAATGACTGGGTCAGATAATGAAGACAAACAAAATATGTACTGTTGGTGAGGCTCCAGGAACAGGGTTGAAAAACACTGATGTAGTGAACAAATAATTACTTTATAATGATGGTTTAAATCTTGCATTCTGTGCATTCTGTAGTCTCATGTGTCAAAAACTCCACTCAGGCCTCTTTAAACCACTCTCGTACTGTATTAGTGGACCCCGTTCAGCTGCTATAACAATGGATGACACCCGGAATAATTTATATAGATTATTTCAGATTGTTAGCAAAAAGTAATCTCTGGCAATTAATCAGCAAAACTGATCAATCTACATCAACCTTAGGTGCTTATTGTTATTCAGAAAGTTTGATTGCATGTTTGCCATGTATTTACTGTCAGCTAAATGTTGGCTTTGTTAATGGAAAAAACGCTTAAATCTTTTTCTCACTTTGTCTGAATGGATTTATTTTCTTTATGTTCATTCCGGGACTACATTGTCTACAAATTGTATAGAGTTGAAGGCACAATTATTAGTCCTCAAGAAACTTTACATTCTCTTTCAAATATTCCCCATGTACATGTGAATGCCCCAGACGAAATACGACAGAAATGTAAACACAGCCTTTTAGAAGCACAGAATAGTGCACTTACTGCATTTAACAAAATGGTAAAGTTTCTAATCTAATTAATACATATTAAACCTCTTTAACTTTATTAAATGTACATCCTGAATCACTGATATGTGTTGGAGTCATTTTTTGTTGGAGTATTTTATTTTCAAGATCTGAGGTGAACTATCTGCTGCTGCTTTCAGTAGTATGACAATAATTGTCATGTAAAATGGAATTCAAGCTAACATTATTAGCATGAGTTGTACACATTGAAGAAACCATTTGTAAAATAAAAATTTCAGGTGTTGGTTAGGACAAAAACTCCAAATATTTCTTATATTGTGTGCTGTTGCTTTTATTTAGAACATGATTTAGATCAGGCTTTAATCAGCCTTTAGGCTCAACAGTCAGGCACACTCCTGTTGATGTTGTCAATCTGGCAACCTGCGCTTGTGTGTGTTTCAAACCTGGCATGCAATACCTAGTTCAACCACAGGGTGTCAAACTTACATTCTGCACCTTGAACTGGGTTAATTAGGTTAACTAGGAAAGTTAGGTTATTTAGGAAAGGCATTGGACAACAGTGGTCTGCACTGTAGCCAATGGAAAAAAAATAGAGAGCTAATAATATATACCTATAATATATATTTTTAAATATTCCAGCCAAATAGTAAGAAAAAAAATATATAGATACACTGTAAAAAATACTGGGTTTTACAATTTGTGTTGGGATAACATAAAGGAATTAAATAAACTTAGTTTTTAAAAATTGAAGTAGATTGAACTTAATATGTTGTTCAATTTAAATAAACTGCAAATGTCATTTTTTTTAGTGAAGGAAATACTGTGAACTCTGCTAAACAGCGCTTGGAAAATATTTGAAACAGAATGAAAATTTCACAGGAGGTCGAACAATTTTGCCCTTAACTACACGTGAGGTTTAGCATAAAAACCTAAATGAGTTTTCAGCTCTCACAAGGTATCGATTAAACACATTTTAAATCATACCTGCTAGTCCTGGACATCAGACTGAAGTCGACACCTCTGCTGCCGGACCACAACTGTTGACTCTGAAGTTTCCCTCTCATCTGATCCAGAATGTCCTTCTGGGCCTCTCGATGGCTCTGCTGGACCTCCACCTGCTGACGCCAAAAAACAAACCCAGAGAAGGAATCGTTATAATTTCAGCGACCCCTTGGAAAACAATTACCACTACGCCATTGATTCAACTTCAAGAACTATTAAAACATAATAAACTTGCGAAACTATTAAACCAATTCAGACTCGTAGCATTTAGCCAAATCAATATGGCAACAATAAAAACTGGCGTGGAGCGAGCAGCGGTGAGCGTCGGTTTTCAGTAGCGATTAGGAAGCACTTGTACAAGCTTTTTTTCAAATCAGATGGAAAAAAATATGTATCTCTCCTCGGTGCTTGAGAAAATTGGCTACATTGGCTTGACGGAGATCAGTTATTGTGCAAAATGCGAGCCGATGAATGAGCGAGCCAATAAAAAGCTCCAACAGACGGCTTTGATTTTTTGCTCATTTCTCAACACTTTATGAAGAGCGTTCTCGCCCGCCGCCTGCTCGGCAGATGCCTCCAGAAAGGTCAGACGATTCCATGAATGCAAACTGCTCCTCAATCAAAGCTACCCTTGATAATAAACAAGAAAATCAACAGAAAGATGTGTCGCTTTTTCATTCCATTTATTGGGCGGGCATCAAACGCCGGGGCTCGGGTGCGCTTTGCTCATTTGGGAGGAATGAAATGAACCTAACTAGGAGCTGTGGAAAATTAGCGGCACGAGCGCGCAGACTTCTCCTCTCCCTCCTCGGAGGAATTTGCTTTCATTTGCCTTCATTTTTGATTCACTCGGCTGGCTCGCCGATGCCATGTCAGGATCCTAATTACTCGATCCCACCGGAGAAGCTTACACACACAATAATAAACCGATGCCCACCTCCGACAAAAGCAATTTCTGCCAGCCACCTTGAGTCTAAGGACGGTTCGGCCCAGCACGCCACTTCGGTTTTGGAGTCGAGGACATTGTCGTGATGGAGATTCGCCTCTCCTGTGGCTTGTGGCTAAGATGCATTTGCATTGATCTCTCCCCCCATTGCAAAACCCACCAGAATTACCCATCTGTATTAAAAAACGCCGAGCTGGAATGTATTAGAAATCTATAAATGTATACGTCTGAGCTGCTGGAAGATGCGGCTCCCATGGGTGAACATGAAAAAAAAAAAGTCAATATCATGCACATAAACCTACATTCATCAGACAGGAGAAATCGGGCTATTGATGAGCGTTTGCCATAATGTACGCAGAGCCCGTTCCCACAATGCAATGCAATCAGTGTCTGAGATAAAGGTTAAGCTTTCATAATCTCAAGGCAGACAATGTCAACCGAAGAAAAAACACGTGTAAGCCTCTGACTTAAAAGCGAAGCATTGCTTAATTAATTTTCCTATGGCATGTCGCCCGTGTGCTAACAGCCGCATCTGTATAACCTCCGTACACGCTATAGTTAGGCTGGATTTCTTACGTTTACGCAGGCAGAAGGGATTTGCATGAGAATCTTACGTATTCTTATTTCAAATAGAATCATTCAAAAACCTCTCATGTCGTCGTCTCTCTCTCTCTCTTGTGCCGTCAAAATAGGTCTTGCTTTAAACTGCTAATATGGCAGGAATCAATGTGAATTCAATCATCTGATGAACGCTTACTTCTGTCCCTCGAGTGAAACCGAGGCTCAGATGTCAGTAAAATCTGCTGAATCGAGTCATTTTGGGCCCTTTTGTTTACACGCCTCTGTCAGCTTCACATCTTCAGAGACGCAACGTGTGTTTTTACTGTCAATCACGAGCTGAAAGTAAGGCCATCATCACTCTCTGTAACATGACAGACTGTTTTCACCACACATTATCAACAGATGTATACGCAAACTGAACATCTATAGGAGTCGCAAGTATTTAATTACTAATTCAAGGGTTTACCTGCTATTCTTTTATATTGACTTACAATTATTCCAGTGAAATATAATCCAGTGAGTGAAATATTTTTTTGAGTTTTTCAGTGTAAAGGATGTTGCCTAAAGATTGCTGAGAGAGAAAATCCAGTTTAACTAATAAGGATAACATATATAAAAAAAATATATAATAATTGTAAGACGCTTTGGACAAAAGTTACTAACTCACAAGAGTGGTCTAGCAAATTCAGGTGTTGTTTTGTATCAATGTAGTACAACCCTAATATAACTACACTTTAAACAAAAGTTGCAGATTATTACACGTCAGCAGAGACGAAAGTAGCAAGCGGGTGGTTCAAAAGTACAACAATATTTTCTAGATTTACTGGTTTAATCTTGTTTATTTGAAATATATCTGACTATGACCTTGTTAATGTTCACTGCAAACATATTCATGTCATTTAAACAGCACAACTGTTTTCAACATTGATAATAAAAGGAAATACTCCTGAAGCATCAAATCAGCAAATGATGTCTGAAGCATTGAACCTGTCACTATCACCAGCGATCCAGGCTCATATATCGCTGGGAATCATTCACTTTCACTCAGGACTACAAATCTGTCATGAGCCAACTTGTATTGCGAAGGAGGAAAGCAAGATAAGGATCCAAACGCAGCATTAAACAAATATTAAATAATACACTTAATGAAAACAAAACTAGGGAACACACGGCTATCATGGAAGTAATGAAAATACAACAGACAACGGGAGGGGAAAAAAACGGATATACATAGTCCTAGTCATCAATGGGGATGAACCACAGCTGTGTGTGTGTGTGATCACGGAATAACAGAAACTGGCGTGTGTGTGTGTGTGTGTGTGTGTGTGTGTGTGTGTGTGTGTGTGTTTGTGTTTGTGTGTTTGTGTGTGTGTGTGTGTGTGTGTGTGTGTGTGTTAGTGGTGCTTGACAATAAGTTGGCCATGTGACGGTGTATTTTGTAGTTCATTAGCGATCCATTGCAGTTCAATAGTCTCTGGATAACTGTTAATTATAACAGAACCGAAACTTGAAATCACAATTTAAACTGAATTCAAATTGAAAAAAAGTAAATTGATTTACAACTACACGATTTTACTGTTTTTACTAGGGCTGAGCAAACCAAAAAAAAACAGAGAATATTTTGTTTATGACTATACATATTCTGTGCACTTGAAGTTCTCTTATCATTTACATACACCTCAAATAAACAGAGAATATAGGCCTTTAGCTCTTCATTTCTTTTCATTCATTCACCATTCATAAGCTACTCTTGGTTTTAATAGGGGCAACATAGAGGCGCAGTGGGCAGTACGATCACCTCACAGCAAGAAGGTCGCTGGTTCGAGCCCTGGCTGGTTTAGTTGGCATTTCTGTGTGGAGTTTGCATGTTCTCCCCGTGGTGGCGTGGGTTTTCTCCGGGTGGTCCAGTTTCCCCCACAGTCCGAGGACATGCGATGAATTGATTAAATTAAATCGGCTGTATAGTGTATGAGTGTGTATGAATGTTTCCCAGTACTGGGTTGCAGCTGGAAGGGCATCCGCTGTGTAAAACATATGCTAGATAAGTTGGTGGTTCATTCCTCTGTGGCGACCCCTGATTAAATAAAGGGGCTAAGCCGAAAACGAATGAATAAATGAATATGGTTTTAATTACACCAAATCAGCAATCAAGAATCTAATCAACAACCAAACTGAATCAATTGAGAGCTTCTAAGTCCGAATCAAATAAATAGCGACATCTGAATTGATACCCAGGGATATTTTTTTACTGTATTTTAGAATAAATAAACGTTTATGTTGTGTATTTTGTATCTATCAACATGCTAAGTGATGGGAAGAAATGTGCACATTAAAACGAATGAAACAATAGCAAATCTTTGCACTTCTGATTAATATTTGAGTGCTTGGTCATCTGTAAAAGTGGTTGCCAAATATTCCAAGGCACTGCCAGTGTGTGCTAATTGGTTGTTTACTGGTAGAAGTCCTACAAGCATGATGGTTAATCATCCAACTACCAATACAAATCAAAGTACCACACTCACCTGAAGCAACATGCGCAGCCTGATTTGAGACACTAAATACAAGCAGCAAAACAAAACCACTACAAATCCTACTTTTTTTGTATTTCACTAAAGGGAACTACTAATAAGAACACAAAAAAGTCAATAACAGTAAAGTATTAAAGGCCCGTCAGGCAAAGCATGAACAGAACAGACTAATTTGCCTTCGTAAGTCTACAGATTTTGCTTAAAAAACATGCAGTGGAGGAAAACAATCACAGACATGATCGGATCGTCCTTGAGGTTTGAGGCACATGTGGTTCACATCCAACAGGAGGACGAAATTCATCGGGATCAAATATAATCCAAACAGAATTGAATGACATTCATCTGTTGCTTCATTGTTTCAAAACAGAGAAAGAGAGAGAGAGAGAGAGAGAGAGAGAGAGAGAGAGAGAGAGAGAGAGAGATGGAGAGAGAGAGAGAAAGAGAGAGAGAGAGATGGGAAAAGGAATCATGTGTCAGGAGGACAGAGAGTCATTGAAAGCAGCTGAGAATGATACACTAAATAGAGAAAAATGTGACTAGAAAAACAGCTCTTATTTTATTATTTAGTTAAGACTCTTGAAATTATAACACGTAAATACAAACTATTACATATCTGATCAGATGCAACTGCAGTGCACAATAGTCAGGTTGAGGAAGTACTTTGTTTATTTACTTCATTGTTAATGTGAAAGAAAATGTAGGCTTTTAAAGAAACAGTTTAAACAAAACCATTCATTCATTTTCCTTTGGCTTAGTTTCTATTTTAGAGGTCGCCACTGAGGAATGACCCACCAACTATGTTGCTTTTAAGTATGTACTGTATTTATGCAGGCAGCATGGTGGCTCAGTGGTTAGCACTGCTGCCTCACAGCAAAAATGTCGCTTGTTCGAGTCCTGGCTGAGCCAGTTGATTTTACTGTGTGGAGCTTGCATGTTCTCCCTATGTTGGCATGGGTTTTCTCCAGGTGCTCAGTGTCGCTGGGGCACTTCTGATCATTTTGGAAGGGCACTTTCAATCCCAGACTAAAAAGGGCATGTGCACTGCAGAGGTTGAGCCCTATGTGTGCACGTGCCTGTTTGC